GCCTCCTCGGCCCCATGGAAAAATACAAATTTCAAGATGGATTCCAATACCCGATGGCATGGTCACATGTCCCTCTAGGACCAATCATAGTTTGGGCTTATAGTACAAAACCATTCACATGCCGCTGATTTGAGTACTGAGTCCTTAAGACCCAGAGCATCAGTGATGGCCCTCAGCACATTTAGAACTATCCACAGATCCACTCTTCATATTTCTAACTTCACAGACAAGAACGATACATGCACAAACATAGGACATACACATTCAGCAGATTGTAACATTAGAATGGATAGTAACATGATCTGTTTTGCATAAGTTGTACATATTCATAAGCTAATTTGCATAAAGCATGTGGGGGGTGGGTCATGACACCCTGCATTAGAATATATCCTAGCACCGAGAGTGTTCTCTCTAGAAAGCGCTGCCACTGCTAGGAAGTTGAACTTGCTGAAAATGGGTCTAGTTCTGATATAGATTGGACCAAACCACCTGCAGTGTTGTTTTGGAAAGCGAGAGTGAGGCTTTGTTTTATGCCAAGAGTGATTTTTGTCCTGTCCACACCGGTAACTCAACTGGTTTTGATGTTGCTTCAGGAGGCACTGGTGAAAAATTCCTTTCAAGGCTGGTTCCATTTCCGAGCGTTAATGCCGGAGGCTGTAATGTAGTCTCGCTGCAGTGGTATCTTTGCAGAAGTCTCTGATTTTTTAGGACACTTGTCCACCTGTAAGGCAGACCGCAGCCATAAAGCACTTTGCAAAAGGTGTAGGATAACTTTTTCAAAAGCTTCCTCCATCCTGTTTTCAAAAATGACGTTGGAGACCAAGTCCCAATGAGACCGAGCTACACTTCCCATAGGCACAATGTTATAAATGGTGGTTCCATTCCTGGAAACCCATTTCATACCCTAAAAATACCAAAACTGACTACAGAAATGGAGGAAAACTAAACTAAATAGTTCAAATAATGCTCAAAAATAATTAAAAAGTGAAGACGCGTTGTAGGTCAAGCAGCCGCTGCAGACTGACGAGTCTGACTGACTTTGTACATTTCCTGTTTTGGGATGATGTGTGAAGTCTGCGTCGTGCACCGTCATAAATGCAAACTGTGCACGTAAATTGAGGGGTTTTAGGAGCTCTCTCACATGGAAAGAATGGTTGTAAATGCAGGGAGTTGTAAGTCGGGCGGTTGTAAGTCGGGGGTCGCCTGTATATTTAAACTCGAGCCGGAAATCACACCCGCACCGCAAGTGTGGATGGACCCTCTCAGAGACGTGCTCTACATGGACCTGGCAGACAGGGCGAGAGCTGTGAAGGGGTCGTGTCCCCGTTTTGACCAGTCTGAAGGCACACCTCCAAGAAGGGACTCCAAGAGTCCATGTCTGTAGGCCCCCGTCTCTAAGCACGCCCGTACGGTATTTCCCAGAGGTGGGAATGGAGCCCAGCAGTCCTGAGACTCCAAGAGTCCATGTCTGTAGGCCCCCGTCTCTAAGCACGCCCGTACGGTATTTCCCAGAGGTGGGAATGGAGCCCAGCAGTCCTGATGCGCAGCCCCTTCTCCAACCTCTGACAGGCACGCTGCAGCTTTATTGGTCCAAACTGACGTTTGTTGCGACTAGAGTCATCAACAAAGAGAGCCTGTATTCTGTGTCATCTTTTTTTCCCCACCTCCTTGTTTCCCTTCCAGATGCCTAGACTAGCAAACATCATGAGAAGCATGAAGGAGAGGTAAATAACTTGGTGTCTGGCCCAATGCATGCGGGCTTTGTTCTACTTTTCTGTGTTTTGAGATGAAAATTGAACATCAGGGGATTGTACCTAAGCAATCAAATGCGCCCCCGAAAGCACCTGGCAGTGGTTACTGTCAGGACAGGACACCGGGCTAGCTGGACCGTCGGTCTGACCCAGGGTGGCCGTTCTTATGTTCAGCCTTCCCCGGCTGCTCTCTGGGCCACAGCCCTTGTATTTCTGCAGCGTTGCATGCTGGGGCGCGGCCACTGAGGCACCCTTCCCTCGTGCCCCAGGCTTTCCCGGCTTGCTCTGTGTCCCAGGGCCTGCACTCGGGGGTACCCCCATCAGGCGGAACCAGGACTGTTAGGGACACTCGACACCAATCTGGCCCTGAAATGACAATTCCCTTGGGAAGGAATCAGTCCAGTC